TTGGAGGGCCCCACTTGAAGGTGGTTCTACTTCTTTTCTTTACTTCTGTTTTTTCTGTCTTCTTGCCTTGTTTCTTCCCAGCATTATATGACCGTTGTTGTGTCAATATATATATATATATATATATATATATACTTCTCTTTACTACCCAAACTGAAAAGTTAGACGTGAGACATGTGTTACCAGCATCTGTGATGTAGCAGTTAGGCACTTCGCTGTTGCATGCAGGAGACCCAAGTTCGATTCTTGATTGGGGAGAAATTTTTTAAGATTCTCTGTCTTCCTGCTGGGATGTTGTATCCCTCTTAGCCCACGGTTGGCCCTGACAGGCAAATTCGGAGGAAGCCTGCCTTCTAAATGATCTAAATTGTTTCAAAGTGTGTACAAAAAATACGTAGAATGTCTTTAAAAACCATTTACATTTTATTTTAGCTCCTGGAGCATCGGCAGATACAGAAGAAGTTGCTGGGGCGACAGCCGCCGACGACACGTCAGCCCCCGAGGAGAAGAAGCAGAAAGTATCTGAGGATCTGGGGACTCGTGTGGAAAGGTATGGTGGTTGTGTTTTTTGGTTTTTCTGTTACCGTCGGGCACAGCTAACATGCACACAGGGAAAACTTGAAACGATGAATAGCTCACACAGTTTACAGTTCCCTGATTGGTGTCTCTTTAATTTTTCATTTATAGTATATATACATACATATATATTGTCTTGAGGTTCGCAGTTCGCTCTCATGGCCGTCCGTTACCCGTTCGCTCTGACTGAGTCCGCGAGTAACGAACCCGTCCGTCCGCTCGCCCCAACCCTAGTTGTGTGTTAAAATATGGTGGCTACGGCCGCGTTGGACAGGTGCCCATTATACACTGTTAAATTATGTAGAAAAAAACGCAAGGGGGGAAATGGAAAGTGGCCGTTTGTACAGGTGGCCGTCTTATAAAGGTGGCCGTCAGGGCAGGTTCGACTGTATATATATATTTTTTTATTCGATAAAAATTGCCCCGGGTGGAAAAATGTCGGTTTCTTCGATTTTGTTATTTTGACAAGCGCCTGATTTCACCATAATGATGTATAAAACGATGAGAAAATGAGTTTCCTTACAAGACTGTCCAGATCCCGTGGTGCTTATTCCTTCCACATTTTTCATTGCCAACTCGGGTGTGCCCTTGGAGGTCATTGGACAGGTCACCTCGCAAGAGGATTTTCTGGCCAAGGTCAAGGCCGCCATTGAGGTGGGTCCAAAAGTCTACTAAGTGACGGTTATGTGAGAGCTTCAAGCATAGTGTAAAGAGGGATGGTGTCAGAAAATGTTGTTTACTAAAAACTTTACTTTTTCTGACCTCTGTAGTCTTTTACCTTATGGTGATGAGAGGAGAAGCAGATATTTTTGCCTTGCCTCATATAGGGAGGAATTGTGTGGAAAAATCATGAGAAGAATTTTGTGAAAGACGAGTGATGTGACGAATGTTACTGTAGGGTGCCCAGGGCATCTCATGGGTTGGTGGATTTTGGTCTCTTTGAAAGTGCAAGAACAGCTTATCTTTTTATAAAGTTGTAGCTGCTGACTACTTCGTAAAAAATGTATTTAATACGTTTTTAAGTGTCTGAGTACACAAGTACATTTTCATGCAAGAAAATATGTATTCTCTCATTTATAGTAATGCTTCTCAAGAACTTGCAGATGCTGAAGAAAAATTGTGAGCTTTCAAGACCCAATTTGCAAATAATGACAAGAATGGAGCCCATAAGCCAGTTCTAGAGATCTTTTAGTGCAGGTCTGCGTCGAATAGCTTGAATCTTGAATTCAGAAAAGTGAATGGGAAGGGTTTGGAGGGGTGGGGTGTTACTTGGCCAGTGCCTTTCTGCAAGTGTCATTTCTTCTCTTAATTCCTAAATAGGTTGGATAGAGCACCTAGTCCTGTCGGATGTGGATGGAAAAAGTCTGAGTTGTACGTGTTGCACATACTTATGTATCAAGGACACTTTATATATAAATTTAAAACACCTAAGTAGCTCAGCTGGCATCATGCTGGACTGACGCGTAGATGGCCATGGTTCAAATTTACAACAGGGCATTCTTGAACTTGGGTCCATAGGTGGAATTTTCGTGGAAGTAAAAAAAATTGTAAGAGTAGTCTTTCTTATGGCTATGATTGCTTTCGTTTTGTGGTTTTTTTTGGTGTTTTTTTGTGGGGTTGTTTTGTTTTACTAAAGAATACTGGTGGTTAATATTTGTCTTTTTGTTTGTTGATCAGATGCAAGACAAAATGACGAGTGAGCAAGGGGCCACAGCAGCTCCTGCCTCACCACCTGCTCAACAGCAACAACAGCAGGCTGCATCATCCTCAGCAACGGAAACAGCAACAGCAGAGTCTGGTGAGTTTTGTCTGGCATGAAGTCTGAACCAGCGTCGGTGTAACTGCCGAGTTCTCCAATAAAATCAGAGCTGTCTGGGTTTTTTTTTGTTAACCCTTCAAAGAACCATGATGGAATATGTTTAAAATCCCAATTTTTTTTGGGTGTTAATCCTTCAGATTGTGTCTAACTTATCGTAATTGACGTGACAATGTAAATTTTTATTTGAGTTTATTTGAAGTATTTCTGTGAATTATCATAACTGATGTTAAAAACGCATGTTCAGTTGAGTGGACACCACTGTACTTGCATTACAACTTGTCATAAAATGAAGTCTTTGGTCCCGAGTATTGTGCTAAAATTAGACAAGAGGGATACATATAACACCGTACACAAGGTGTGTGGATACAAACATAACCCAGTTTATCAGTTCGTGTATATGTACTGTCTTCTTCTCCCTCTCTGATGTTCTTTCATGATTTAAAAAAAATCTTTGTTGTCATTAATCATTAAGAGTTTTTGTTAGGAAAAAAAATATTGGGGGTTGGGGGGGGGGGGGGGGGGGAGGAGGAGATTTTTTATTGTTGTTGTTTCGAGCTTTTTAGGTTGTCCTTAGACAATAATGGTACTTGGAGGGCCCCACTTGAAGGTGGTTCTACTTCTTTTCTTTACTTCTGTTTTTTCTGTCTTCTTGCCTTGTTTCTTCCCAGCATTATATGACCGTTGTTGTGTCAATATATATATATATATATATATATATATACTTCTCTTTACTACCCAAACTGAAAAGTTAGACGTGAGACATGTGTTACCAGCATCTGTGATGTAGCAGTTAGGCACTTCGCTGTTGCATGCAGGAGACCCAAGTTCGATTCTTGATTGGGGAGAAATTTTTTAAGATTCTCTGTCTTCCTGCTGGGATGTTGTATCCCTCTTAGCCCACGGTTGGCCCTGACAGGCAAATTCGGAGGAAGCCTGCCTTCTAAATGATCTAAATTGTTTCAAAGTGTGTACAAAAAATACGTAGAATGTCTTTAAAAACCATTTACATTTTATTTTAGCTCCTGGAGCATCGGCAGATACAGAAGAAGTTGCTGGTGCGACAGCCGCCGACGACACGTCAGCCCCCGAGGAGAAGAAGCAGAAAGTATCTGAGGATCTGGGGACTCGTGTGGAAAGGTATGGTGGTTGTGTTTTTTGGTTTTTCTGTTACCGTCGGGCACAGCTAACATGCACACAGGGAAAACTTGAAACGATGAATAGCTCACACAGTTTACAGTTCCCTGATTGGTGTCTCTTTAATTTTTCATTTATAGTATATATACATACATATATATAGGGCCTATATATATTATATATATATATATATTATATATATATATATATATTATATATATATATATATATATATATATATATATATATATATATATATATATATATATATATATATATATATATATATATATCAGTTTACCTGACTTATGGATGTGTCAAACACATTTTTCAATCCCAGACGTGTCGAGTTATTGGTGCCGGACTGTTATATACTTTCTTTCTTTGTTTACAAGCTGAACCAGTGTCGGAGTTGGAGTGGTTAGACTCTTTGCTGTTCCACACAAAAGACACAGGTTCAGTTCCTGAGTGAGGGCAAATTTTTCATTTTCAAGGGTGGCCATCTGTCTGCTAGAATGTTGTGTCCCACTCGGCCCAGGCTGACCCTAACAAGTAGAATGGGAGCAGCCCACCTTTTAATAAATGATCTGCGTTGTTTGGATTACAAAATGACAAATTTGCAAGGTCAAGTACCCGTTGTAGCAATGTGGTTGTATCAAAGTCTCAAACGGAAATTTCTGTGTGAGTTGATTTCAGGCTCTCACAGACTATTTTCTTTCATTATCTTCCTTTTGCTTCTTCTTTTTCTGTCTTGTCATTGCCTATTTCTCCTTCCTTTCTCTCCTACCCTCCTTTTTTCTTCCTGGGTTCTTTTTTTCTCCCCCACCCTTTTTTTTTTGTTCTTTCTTTTTTTCAAGGAGGTGACTTTTGTAAAACGTGTACATTTTATGCAACATGGGTCAATGGCCTTAGACCCTGAATAAAACACCTACCTACATACCGACCTTTTCTCTTCGCTTCCCTCTATTCTTTCCTTCTTTTGTGGAGAAAATTCAGGTCGAATGCTTTTGTGGATATTCTGGTGTGGTTTGCTCCTCCTTTTATATGAAACATCTCTCATCCTTGTCTCTCCTTGTTCTTTTTTGTGTTTGTTACTCTATTTTGACACCTCTAATCTTTGGCACTTATATATGACCTAATTTTGTTGCAAGTGCCGTAAAACGCTTACTAAAACTAAAAACGAACACCTTGTATATTGACAATCCTATTTTTTTTTTCTCCTCAGAGCTAAGCAGCTGGTGGACTTGAAACGAGATGAGAAAATGCAGAAAGAAGCAGAGGTTAGTTGCAGGTTGTTGAATAATGTGTATTCTGCCTGTGAATATGATAGATTTTTGTCTTTTGTTTCGTAATTGTGGATAATTTTTTTTTAAATTCGTAAATCCAACAGTGGTCCTGGTTGATGTGATGTCGGGGATCGTACACTTGGTTTGCCTATACTTACCCACCTACCTACCTAACCACCCACCCGCCCACCCTTGTCCGTCGTGTGGCTGGAAGCCAAGAGAAAAGAATTTGCCACTTACCCACCTACTTACCTACCTACCCACCCTCTCATCCACCTACCCTTGTCCGATGTATGGTTGGAAGCCAAAAGAAAAGAGTTTGCCACTTACCTACCTAGAAACCCATATACTTACCAACATACTTACCCGCCTACTTACTCACCTTCCCACCTACCTACCCTTGTCTGTTGTGTGGGCAGGAACCCAAGGGAAAAAAAGTTTGCCACCTACCGACCTATACTTACCTACCTACTTACCTACCCTCCCATCCTCTTACTTACCTACCTACCCACCCTCTTACCTACCTATACTCACCTACCTACCCATGTCTGTTGTGTGGGAGTGGGTGGTTGGCAGGTGCTCTGGTGTGGTTTGCTCCTTCTTTCCTATAAAAAAATCTATTGTCTTTATCTCCCCTCCTTCTTCTTTGTGTTTGTTACTATCTTGTAACACCTCTAATTTTCTGATGCTCATATGACCTTATGCAGTTTCGAGGACCGTAAAACCTTTGTCAAAAACGAACATGTCTGTTGTGTGGGCAGGAAGCCAAAAAGAAGGAGTATGAGCGGCGGGAGCTGGGCCAGGGTCTGCAGAAGCTGAAGGAGAAGCAGAAGGAGATGGAGATCCTGGAGGCTAAGAAGGAGCTGAAAAAAAGCCGAGAGGAGGACAAACTGGCGCGGCAGAAAGTGAAGGAGGAGATTGCCCGGGACAGGTGAGGGGTGGATGATGACGCTGTGTTTGCACAAGACTGGGTCTCGTCTAAGATAAAATGGGAGAAACGTTTGAATATACACATGCGTGTAAAAGTTGTTTCTTGCGTGTGATGTGAGAAGTGGTTAGAGATGAATAAATTTGCAGCAGAAATTATGGGTTTTAAAAAAATCTTCGGGGTTTTTAAAAAAATTGTTTAAAGTATTTTTTTTTCTTTTATTTCTAAATTTCGTTTTGGATAAAGATAATGTCAGTGAAGCTGCAGGGTACTGGTAAGTAGGCCCTACTTTGTACTTTCTTCAGAATTAATTTTGCGGTTTAATTTTTTTAACCCTATCATACCCAGGGGAGTGTGCGTTCCTACTGTTTGCACTGATTTTCAGCTAAGTTGGTTAGCAAGGACAGCAGCCTCATGTCTCAGTGTTATTGGCCTCATGATCTAGATTTAGCCCTCTCGTGACCTATTTCGGACTGCGGGTCTTCAGTAGTGTCACTTTCCTCCCTTTTTGTCATTCTATATGTTCCCCATCCAACGCATAGTGTCAAGTTTGAAAGGGAAATTTTCTACCTTTTTGAATGTCATTTTAGCTGTTATGTTTTGTGAGAGCATGCATTCACCTACAAGTCTAGACATGTGTTTATCGATCGCTTGCAAGCCTTGCAGTAGATTAATACTAGCAAATTTGGGTACAGACATGCTTATTTTTGTTATTCCTGGATACAAATTCAAGTTGTGCTTGTGGCTATAGGAGAATTAGAGCCAGATGATTAGGGGAATGTACATGTAACGTCGTGTAGGCAACCAGGAACGGCAAATTTTGGCCACTTCCATGACGTCCATTGTAAGTTGCCCTCTTTTATGACATACAAGGGGGGCTCTCGTGGCCTAGAGGTTAAGGTGTTGGCCTCTCATTCAAAAGGTCCCGGGTTCGAATTCAGGTAGCAACCGAAAAATTTTCTTCTCTAAAATTGTCTTCTTTCACCTCCTTACCTGCTCTCTAGCAATGTTCTGTTGTCTGCTTTTGTTTCCACTTTCTGCCCCCACTCCCTCATCTCCTTTGCCCCCCTCCTCTGGGCTCCTGATTCTTTCTACAGCTTTTCTACTGCTACTCCTTGGCTTCTTCTTACTGCTCTTTCAGCCACACCCCTGATATTCTGGTAGGAAAGACTTACACCTAGCCTTCTCGGACAATGGCGAAAAGTCTCAGAGAGCCAGTGTGCAAGTTGCGCTCGTTAAAGATCCCTTGGTGGTCTAAAATCGATAAGAGTAGGCTTCGGCCGCCACCCGGGCAAAATTCAAAATTTCCTACCAACTGAAAAAGTTCAAATAATGTGTCCTGCGCGCTCTATGACCTTATGCAGTTGCGAGCGCCGTTAAAACACTTACCAAAACAAAACATGACATACAAGGTATGTCAAATGGCAAAAAAAAGCAGTTAATGGAGTATTGTATGTATATATATATATATATATATATATATATATATATATATATATATATATATATATATATATATATATATATATATATATATATATATATAGTGCTTGCCATAACAAGCCAAATTTCTCTAAGGGCTCATAAAAGTGGTGATTTATTATTTTGATTCTTATTGTTCATTTTGATTTGTTTTCCAACAGAGCGGAGAAAGCGGCTCGGTTTGGGAAGGAGAAGGAGGAGCGTGCTCAGGCTCAGGAGGAGGTCAGGAAGAGAAAGTTGGAGGAGCAAGCGGCACAGGCTGAGGAGCAGGCGAGACGGAGGTGGGTCGGTGGTGCCGTTTATTATTTCACTGTTGGTATGGTTTATTATTTCACTGATGATATCGTTTATCATTTCACTGGTGATATCGTTTATGTTTTCGCTGGTGATACCGTTTATTATTTCACTGGTGATACCGTTTATTATTTCCCTGGTGATATCGTATATTATTTCGCTGATACGGAGGTGGGTCAGTGATTTAGTTTACAATATCAATTTCACTGATGTGGGGGTTGGTGATTTTGTTGATTATGTCACTGACTTGGGTGTTGGTGATAATGTTTGTTATTTCACTGGTGATTTAGTTTATTTTTTCACTAACATGGGGTTGGTCGTTGATCTGATGGATGTGGTCTGCCCTTTCTTTCCTGTCAAATAAATGTCCCCGTCTCTATTTCTTTTCTTTGAATGCTACTCTGCAATATTCGGCACTTATATACATGACCTTTTTGTGTTGTAAGTGTCATTAAAATCTCTTACCAAAACAAAAATGGTTGTTTATGACGCATTTGAATTAAGAATTTCTTTTTCTACATTTTTTTCAATTTTTATAATTGTAAACTTCCCTCACGTCTCACACTGCTTAGCGCAAAGAGACATTTAATGATTTTTTTTTTTTTTAATGAACCTGATTTGTTGTAGTAAGAGTTTTACTGCACTGTGCAACACAAATCGGCCATGTAAGTGCCAAAGATTTGAAGTATTATTATAGATGTGCGTACAAAGAAAAGAAAGAGAGATAAGGACGATAGATGTTTGACTGAAAAGATGGAGCAGACCACACCAGAGCACCCACCATCCTCCCAAGTATTGACCAACATTTGTAATGTTGAAATTCACAGTTTTTCCTCTATCTTTGTCCACCACAGTGAGTTTGCTCGTATTCAGTTCCGCAAGCCCGACGGGTCGTCTGTCAACCACCAGTTCACGGCTACGGAGACGTTTGCTTCAGTTCACCGCTTCATCACCGAGGTCTGTTGCTCTAGATGCTTTCTCTGATTTGAGGTCTTCGTTTTGTTTGCTATTTCTTTTCTCTCTCTCTCTCTCTCTCTCTCTCTCTCTCTCTCTCTCTCTCTCTCTCTCTCTCTCTCTCTCTCTCTCTCTCTCTCTCTCTCTCTCTCTCTCTCTCTCTCTCTCTCTCTCTCTCTCTCTCTCTCTCTCTCCCTCCCTCCCTCCCTCCCTCCCTCCCTCCTTCCCTCTCTCTCTCTCTCTCTCTCTCTCTCTCTCTCTCTCACTCTCTCTGTGTGTGTGTGTGTGTGTGTGTGCTATTGCTTGAATTTAATTACTTCGAAACTGTCAAAGACAGCCACGTGGCATCGGTGGCCTAGTGGTTAGGCTACCGGATTCGTAATCGGGAGATTGCAGGTTCGGGGGATCGAGCCTCCGAGCCTTGTGTCCTTGGGAAAGGAACTTTACACGAATTTCCCTCTTGGCTTGGTCCTTTCGGAGATGGACGTTAAATTTGGAGTGGGCTTGATTTCTGTCATCTCAGGTTCAGATGTCTTTGGGTGCTTTTTCAGTTTGTGGTTGTTATTGTTATTGTTATGGTTATATCCAAGTCCGTCAGCTTGTACTCATCACACTATTTCTAGATGGGAGAAATTTGAGTCCTTGCATCTGTGGTTTGTTTAATAACCAGTTATTGAAAAATTGTTGAATTACACACATGAAAAAACACAAACTAAGTGAAGATCTCGCTGCTTGTTCCCACGTTGGCTTGATTTTCTCAGCTCAAGTTGAGATTTCTTTGTGTGTTTGTTAAGTTATGGTTGTTATTGTTATTATTATGTAGCTATCCAAATCCATCAACTTATACCCATCACACTATTTCTAGAGGGGAGAAGTTTGAGATTTTGCGTCCTTATTTAATTAATGAAAAATATGAGTCTGTGCATAGGCCTACCTGTTTAATCCTAACAGTTATTCTTAACCCTTTAAGGACGTATCGGACACATTTGTCTGACCGGAAACAAAAGAAAGGCAATGCTGTTGGTCATTTTGAACCTACATGCACAAGCCAGAACCACAACATTGAACATTTCCTAATATACATGTTGTTGCCTGCCTGTGCAAGTTTCAGATAAAAAGAAAACAACACTCCGGGGCAGTGCCTCTGACTGAAGTGTCTTTAGGCCATTCCCAAAGGGAGGACATTTCTCGTTCAAGCACAGTAGAATTGTAAATGGGCTGATTCATCATGTCACGCTCATAACTGTGCCTGATCTGCAACAGGGAACTGCTGCTTTTTCTTTCTTAATCCTTACTATTGTCATTTTCCTTTACTTTTTTGTGTTTGTCACTCTTGTGACCTGCTATTTCCGGGGTGCCTTGATGGTCAAAGCAGACTTTGTGCTGTTGAAGCTAGAGAGGTGAACAGAGTAAGTCTGATTCCCTGTAAGGACTTCTCTGTTGACACCCACCCCTTGGTGCTAATATGACCTTATGCAGTTGCGAACGCCATAAAACCCTCTACTATAAAAAAAAAACAAAAAAAACAACTGGAAAATGTGTATGGATAACTAAATTAAGATTCTTCTTCAAGAGTTTGAATGACCAGGTTTCACGTCTTCAATGAGTTTTTTGTTTGTTTAGTTGTTTTTTTTTTGGTCAGTGTTTTACGACACTTGCAACTGCATTAGGTCATATGAGCTCACGGGACACATTAAACATTTTCAGTTGGTTATAAATTTTGAATTTTGCCCGGGTGGCGGCCAAAGCCTATTCTTTTTCTTATCGATCCATGAGTTAACGCACAATGGTTGATCTACACACATGAAAGAATAATACAAAACTTCTTCTCTTCTTCTCGTTCGCATCACACTTGAAGTCTCGTATCTGTCATAAATTGGGCCGTCCTCCTCAGTTCCTCTGTCGGCCCGTATAGCTTCTTACTTAATACAAAGCTAAATGAAAGGTCTCACTGCTTACTTGTCCCCACAGCACATGGGCTGCAACGTGTCGCTGTCCACCACGTTCCCTCGCCGGACGTTCACGCCCGCTGACCACAGCTCCACACTGCAGGAGCTTCAGCTGGCGCCGTCGGCAGCCATCTTGGTCATTCCTGTGAGTTTTTTGTGGGGTGTTTTTTTACTTTTACTTACTGTATGGAAGGTTGGTTGCTGTATGTATGTATGGTGGGAGGGGGGGGGGGGGCAGGGGCAATTGTTGTGTTGTCATGAGATTGAGAAAAACTGTTTATTGTCATGAGATAGAGAAAAAAGGATGGAATGTGTTTAATTTTTTATATTTTGGGGGGTGGGGGGGTGGTGGCTATTGTATTGTCCCCGTCGTTTTATGCAAGAAAAAATTCTGAAATTGTGCAAACTGAGCCCAAAAATGTGAAATTATGCGATTCTATTAATTTTTAACAAAGAATGGTAAAGGAAAATAATCAGAAATTATGCAAAAGATGATCAAATTTTGCCAAATTATGCTTGGTGCATAAAACCAAGGGGACAGATTGTACTGTTGTGTTGTCATTAGAGAAAAAAGGATGAAATATGTTTGATTGGAGGGATGTTGGGGGGGGGGGCAATTGTAGCGTTGTCATAAGATTGAGAAAAAAGGATGAAATATGTTTGATTGAGGGTGGAAAGGGAGGGGGGGGGGAGGACAATTGTTATGTTGTGTTGTTAGAGATAACATATCATAAAATGAAATAGAGAGAAAAGGAAGAAAAATGTTTGATGGGAGAGAAGGAGTAAACCATTCAGAGCACCTGTCAACCACCCACTGAGGAAGAGTGTTTGCCGAACATGTCATATATATGAATTTCTTGTATTGAGGCGTTTGTTTTTGTGCAACTCTTTTTTTAAATGCTCCAGAATAGAGCATTGTTGAGGTCATAGGGTTTAGAGAAAGAGGCCAGTCTTCATGAACTGTGAGGCAGCATGGTGAAATCAGGCGCTCGTCATGTCAAAATAATGAAAGTGAAGAAAATGAAATTTTTCCGCCGGTTTGGGAATTTTTATTGAGTTTTTTTTTTTTTTGGCTCAACACCTTTCATGTCCATTAAAGAACAGACTTCTGTGTAGATTTTACACATGGGTGCCAGACCTCCGGGCCCAACCCGGAAATCCGGGCTGACAAAATTTTACAGCATCACTTTCCGGGTTGCATCGGGTCTTTAAAAAGGAAAAAAAAATACAGAAAAGTTCGGCAGGAACTTGGAACGTTACTTTCTAAAGCATCTATGCCGAATCTAGTAGATGCCTCACGCACATTATTTTGAATTCCGACATGGATACGCTCAAGATCTACTTTCGCTTTTATAACCCAGAATTCTCCGATGGTGTCCTGATTACTGTACAATTATGACTTAGGCCTAAGAATAATCTATTCGTTGTTCTGCCGTTGCTTTAACAGCAACCTTCGTCTGAGTTCTGGTTAGTCGGGCCCATCATCAAGACCTGTCAGTGGAACATTCAAACGCCCATTCTCTTCACGTGAAATGACCTCGTATGTGTGAGTAGCGCGTGTGTCGGGGACCGTCGGTTGTCGGGGTCAACAAAGTTCATTCACACCGGTCGCATTGGTCGAGGTGTTTTTCGAGGTGTTTTTCGGGACTTAACCAGTGTGGACGGCCGGGGGGAGGGGGTGGGGGTATTGTTTTGACACTTGGGCAAGTTCGTGCCGTGATACATGTATTAATTGAGGACAAAGTAAAGGAATAAGGGGAAAAAATGGAACAACCTTGGCGCGATCTTTTCTTTCGGGGGGTGCCTTGAGTGTATATGCTATGGAAGTCAAACGTTGTTACTGTATGAAAACGTGGGCTTTTTGCATGGATGATTCAAGTTATGTGTCAGCTATTTTCACGACTACGAGTTTCAACTTTACTGCAACCTGCGCTCCCCCAGTCTATCCAACTCCGACTCGAGTAATGCTGTCTTTCAGTTTTCCCTCTATTAAGAGGCCCAAACGTGAACTTATTCCTGCAAAAGTTTTCTCTTGCATACTTGCCTCATAAAAGGCAACCAGGAGACCCCCCCCCCCCTTCCCCAGTACCGCTTATAACTGATTTGCCGTTGATCCCGATTTTTTTCACCAGATCCTGATTTTTTTACTCGAAAATCCTGATTTTTACATTTCATAGAGTTGCAGGTCTGCTACCGTCAACCTCAATAAATTCAAATAGATTTCTAGATCTAGATCTGTGCAAGCTCTGTTTGATTTTTGAAGATGAAGTTTCTAGATAGACCTGCCTCTACGGAGGAATTGGAGAAAAGTGTAAAAAATAAGTGGTGTTGGCAATGGTTTGATGAGATTTTCGACGATGTCAAAGTTTCTGTGTGTTGTAGGAAAGTCGAACAACCTGGTGCATGATCTCCAAGACCCTTAAAAAAAACTAAGACCACCAACATAACTGCCTTCTTTAAGAAAGTGTGAGCTTGGACTCTGCCTCCTTGTGGACAAGGAGTAAGAATGGTATTCACTGCTGGACCCTAGCATGCATCGTAAAAGGCAACTAAATGGTTCAACGAGCAACATACAGACGGCAAGGAAGGAAGAGTTTTCATATATTTTTTTTCAGGGCTGGGAAAATTTTGGACTGGGTTTTCAGGGCTGGAAAAATTTTTCACTGGCACCCATGATTTTACAGAAAAATGTTGATAAAAGACATAAAAGATGTATATTTTCAGTTTTCACGGACTCTGAGAAATAACCCAACTTTGGCGGCCATTTTCTCGCCAATTTTATCTCTGAAATCAGGCGACCTCCACCTCCTTCAGTAGCCAATATCTTGAGTTGTATCCAAGATAAATGATATTTTTTTACATTGAGAGCAAGGCAAATGCTCGGGCTTTAACTTTAAGATGATACCAATAACTCCATATGCCTCAAAATTGACAAGCGCCTGATTCCACCGTGTTGTGACTCAATTGTAATGGTTGTAAAAAAAAGGGCATAGAGTATGCTGTTGAGTATGGTGGGCGCTATAAAAATGCAATCATTATTGTTATTGTTTTTATTATTATTATCATTAATATTATTACTTACTTACTTGTCTTATTTGTCCACTGTGTTGGGGTCACTGCAGTCGGAACATGTCCATCTCTGCTCTCCCCCCCCCCCCCCCCCCCCTTCTTCAGGATCCATCCTATAGTCTGTCTGCTTATAGTCTCCATCATAATGTGGTTGGAGATCTGTTGGACTGGTCCGCACAGATGGCTGTGTTTCCCCTCTCCTCTGTATTATTTTACTGGCAAGTGCAAGTTTTTCGCTGACAGTAAAGGGGTTAACTTGTCTGTACAGTACAGTGCACTTTCTTTCCCCCCCCCCTCAGGGCAACATGTCTACGCAAGGAGTCCGTGGGTCCGACGACAGCTCTCTCAGCATCTCCAGCATCACCGGCCTGCTGTTCGCTCCCTTTGTGTTTGTCTGGAACATGATCGCCTCCCTCCTGGGCCTGTCGGGACCCTCCGCCCCGCCGGCCCGGGCACAAGAGCCCAAGAGTGTGCCGGAGCCGTCTGCCACAGGAGGAGACAGGAGCCTGGGGAAGTAAGTTCCAGTCTCCTTTCCTGCTTATCTCCAGCAAGTTGCTCTCAGCGGCTCGCGGTCAGAACAGCAGCTCAGGCACATTCCTTTACAAAGAGTTCCACACCAAATTACTTTTCGGCAATTTCCTAAAACAGGTTTCTTTTACCGGGGATTCATTCATTAAATGGATAACTTTCAAAATAGGTTTACTTGTTTTTATTTAATGACCAATTTAGTGATGCTTTTGTCACTTTTAACTTTTGTTCTGAAAGGGCCCCGGCGTAGTAGGTTTACCCCCCCTCTGATCTATAAAGAGTTAACAAATGTTGCAGTAGTTCTTTATTCTGTATGTATATATAGTAGACTTTGTTTAAACATGAAGCTGTTGAACCCTTTAAAAGATGGGTGTAGGTTTTTACACCACGTTCAACACAATTTAGATAATTTAGGAGGCAGGCTTTTTACCCTGCCTGTCGGGGTCAACCCCGGCTGAGTAGGATACTTGTACAACACCATCTCAACGGGAAAAGTCCAGATACGAAACTTTGGATAAAAAGTTCTCCGCACTCAGGAATTGAATTTGGGTCTTCTGCATTTGACAGTGAAGAGCCTACTGCTACACCACAGACACCTGTCAACTGAACTCGAAATTCTTGTTAACAAGAAAGGGTTTGAGATCCTGGGGGGATGGGGGGTTCCTTCTTTAATTCATGCATTGCAAATTCCCCTTACATGTTCAAAAGTTAAATGAATCAAGCATACGAAATCTAATGCCCTTCTTTCCCAATCAGCATTTTCCTTTGGCTGTGTTTGAGTGGACGTTTTAATATTTTTTGCATTTCGGCTTTTTCACAAATATGAAATAATGAGAAAATTTTGCAATGACCTTTTGTGAATTTCCATTCTCTAAGTCTAGTTATGGTATGTTTTGCTTTCCTCATGTTGCACATCATAAGATGTTCGAATGTGTGTGCCTGGAGAAAAGTCCCAGTTGTCAGAAATTTTGATTGAAATAAGAACATTATTATATTCTTGCTGCAAATTCAATGCTGAATACACTCTAATTTTTACATTTTTCAAATATATTGAGTAGTTTTATAGTTGTAATGCCACATTTTTGTAAAACAGGGTTTAAAAAACAGAGTTTGGAGAAAAACAGTTTTTACATTAGTATGTTGACCCCGTTTTTTCCACATTTTTAACCTTTGGTGAAGTACAGTCCGTGCCGGCGTTTAAGCACTCCGGCATAAAGCACGTTTCGGACTCTAGCACGCTAAACGGCTCTTACCGAATTTTTGCTATATAAATTATGCGCTTTTAAGCATGGTAACTTCGGCTTCGGGCCTGCTTCATTTATAAGACAGTCAATACTTTCATGATGACCCATCGAAGTTCGAACACAGTGAGTGGGTTAAGTGGAACACAAAGAACGCAAGTGATGGACACACACACTCACACGCACGGAGAGGTAGGCAGAGAGATGCACACAGCCGCACTCGTGGAAATAGGATCTAGCCTAGGGCAAAGCTACACACTGACAAAAAAGATGCAAAGAGAGTCGGGGAGACGAGAAAGGGAGGCTGGCTGCGATTTCACCTTTGCCCCTCGCTATCCATTAATCCTGATTATTTATCATGCGCGAGGTGGGATGAAGGCGGTGGTATGAATGTGGCACAGCGGGCAGTGGTACACACAGGCAGTGTGTAGGCCTTGTGTGCTGTATCGTAACTGGCCGTCTCAATTAAGTTTTCATTTCCCATTCAACCAAAAAACAAAACAAACAAACAAAAGCTACCATAGCGGATAAAAATAACAGTTAACAGAGCACACTTTTGTGGGACCACTGTAGGCCTACTTACGAAGGGAAATAGCACGAGAAATTTTCTACATGAAAATCTCTGGATTATGTCTACTTCGCACTCAAGCACGCTTCGGCGTTAAGCACGCTTATGCTTTCTCCTGGTGACCGTACTTAAAGCCGGCATGGACTGTGCAACTTGTTTCAAATAAAATAATAAGTGAAAAAATATTTAGACTTAAAATATTATAAAATCCTTGCAACATCTTGTTAAGAAATGGTTCAGCAGGTGTTTTCTAATGGAACTAAATTTTTGACCTGGTACGACTTTTTTTTACCGTTTCACCCCATTGGTCATAATAAATAGCTTTGTCAACAGCTGGGACACACACATATATAAGTCATAACTTTCTTGTTCTAGTTCTAGTGACTGTTTTATGACACTTACAACACAATTAGGCCATCTTATTGCCGAAGATTAGAGGTATTACAAGAGAGTAACAAACACTTGAAAAAGAAAATGGAAAGATCAGGATGATAGATGTTGGACAGGAAAGAAGGAGCAAACTTCACCAGAGCACCCGCCAACCACCCACTATGTTGACACTTATATATGACTTTCAAAATCTGTGATAAATTCCTGCTTGTGGTTGTGGTTTTGGAGATATGCTTCTGATGTAACACGTTGCATTATTTTCACCCTTTGTTTTTCTCTTCACATTGACATTCTTTTTTTGAAAGTAATATAGACAGTTTGAATTCTATACATCATGTTATATCTGTGTGTTTTTGCCATTCCAGTTAAGTAAGCCACAGGAAATTTCCCACAGGGACGATAAATAGTAATAAAGTAATAAATAATAAATTACGTTTTATTTAAATTGGCTTACAATGGCAAACATAACATATTGTTTTTGTACAGTTTACATACACAATACTACACGAATACAGAACAGTTTCCCAAGCATGCCATTTCTGGTCACCACTGGGCAGCACCCTGTTTTTTAAATTAGAGTTGTCGTGTCTTGCTACAGGACACACCCCAGTGACCACCCATCTGATCCCCGTGTCATCGGCACTTGCTTGACATTACTTTTGAGTTTGAACTCACTACTCACTTAGCCAGTGAAGGCCCCCCCCCCCTGTTAAGTATTATCTTATCATATCTTGTCTTATCTTTTCTTGTTTTGCCCTTTCTTATCTTATCTTTTTATATCATGTCATGTCTTGTTTTGTCCTATATTTCAGTATCTTATCATATCTTTTCATGTAATGTCTTGTCTTGTCCTGTCTTATCTTAATCTTATCTTTTCATATCATATCTTGTCTTGCTTTGTCCTATCAATATCTTATCTTTTCATATCACATTCTTGTCTTGTTTTGTCATATCCTATCCTATTTTTTGTTATCGTTATGTTATCTTATCTTGTCTAATCTTCGACAGCACTAATAGACGGTCAGCAGCTGCCGCTTCAAGTCGGCAAGAAGGAGCCATCCACCGCTTCCACAACGCACAGGACGATGAAGATCCTGATGACAAGAACACTTGGAATGGAAACTCTACTCAGCAGATGTGATAATTGTTAATAATATATCTTGTGGAGGTTTCGGGTGGGGGAGGGAGAGAAGAACAAGAATAGAGGAGAGGTGGGGGGGGGGGGGGGAGTAACCCGAAAAGGGAGAGGAGAGGTGGGGGGGGGGGTGCAAAGGGAGAGGAGAGATGGAGGGTGTGTGTGTGTGTGAGGGGAAGAGAGGGGGGGGGCTGTGACGAAGGAGAAGGAGAGGGGCTGTGTCATGTCATTTGGTGCATACAATTACTACTATGGCGAAGATGATGAAGTGTGAGTAATGATGACGGTATGCTGTTTTCAATTGAAGGTACAAACTAATTTATGTCTGCAAATTGTTTTCATCTCTCCATTTGAATGTGTTCTGTGTTACACATTTTAAAATTATTTTTTAAATTTAATGATGGCTGTTATCATTGAATTTTAGGTCAACCGTCTTAGCTTTAGACATCCCTCAGTGGAAGCATTGATCTCTTTATGGGGCTTGGTCAGTTGCCAACGGTCCAAGTTGCTTGTCTTCTTGTGCAGGTTGTGAGAGTAGAGGGCTTCGCTGACCTGATTTTTCTTAGTGAGAACTTTCATTTTTGTCACACTGTGGAATGAAATGAGTTACCGTACAAGTTTTCTTTCCTTTTGTCGCTTTGCGGGTGAGAGTAGAGGGCTCCGCAGACCTGATATTAGTGAGAACTGTTTCATTTTTGTCTCACTGTCGAATGAAATGAGTTACAAGTTTCCTTTCCTTTTGTCGCTTTGCGGGGTGGCGTAATTTTTGTATATATTCATAAAATAGCTTGAATTGTTCGACTCCATGCTTCTTGTCAGTGACTCCTATGTCCTGTGTCTACATTTATAAGTAAGGTAGAGATAGAGACAAGAAGGCAAAGTGGGCCCTACTATAACTTAAAGGCTCCGTAACTTAAAATTTACCTTTTCAGTTTCAGGAGAAACCTGTCTGCTTATAATTTTTGTCTGTGTTTGCGTTTGGGGAGGGTTATTTGGCATAAGTGGCCTTCGAAGATTTTTGAGAAAGACTTGATGTGAGAGAGAGGCTTTTCTCCCTCCTATTGTGAAACTGAAATTCTGGCTTGTTATTTGAGGATATTATAGTATAATAGGTAGTTCAGTTCCATATGAAATTTCTTTTTGACACTTGCGTATGAGATGCTGAATGGAGGTAGAATTAGAATGGTGGGTATTTAGTGTTCATTACTGACCATCTGAAGTGAAATTGATGCCCAGATGGTACTGTGGTCTGAACTAGAGGAACTTTATTTGTGTAGGCCTTCCCAGAGGTTCAGCTTCGGTTCTTAACTGAAGAGGAATAACACAAAGCTTACCTTACCTCACCTCTTTCACAAGCTGTGGGAACTTTTGTAATTTATGTTTTTGAGGTGTGGTATTATTTTCGTTTTATTTGAATTTTTTTAATGCATCTTCATCATCATCATCATCAAGTGTCTTTTCAAGCGCAGATATTGGCGGTTATGGTTCTCCATCCCACTCTTTCATTGTTGATGCCTGCATGAATGAGTTGTTTGTTGTTGTGTTGTTACCTACCCAGGAGTGTATAAAAGCATCAAAACAAGAGTGTAAGAAGGTCCCTGAGGAACATGTGTGGTCAATGTCCAATAATTGAATGAATCGTGATTAAGGCTCCCAGCTGGAGCTGACGGGTACAGTGGAACCTTCTGTTTATCTTAGCACCATAAATAGGTCAGCACAACAGAACGAAAATGGCTGCCAGCTGATGGCTTCCCACAACCGAATTATGTCAGTGTTTTTCAGAGGTACAGAGGGTGTCTTGTCTTAAAGAAATTGCTTTTGCTTTCTAAATCTATGCGACGCATTTCAGCAAAATTTCACATACAAAAAGACCTAGGACGTCAGCATTTAATTTTACAGTGGAACGTTCTAAATTTCTAAGTCTGCACTAAAGGTGGATGTGCCAAACTGGTAATATCCGGCATGGCTCTACAATGGGAAAGCCAGTGGAAACATGATGGAAAGGCCAGTATGGCTCAAAGTGGGTTAAACTCTGTCCAGTTTGAGAATAGAGGAGAAAACCAAGGTGGACGCCTAACTTGACCAATGAAAAAAGTACATGATGTCTTCAGAATAAAATGTTGTCTCTGGTAGGTATGCATTAAAAAATAAAACATCCTCGACTAGCAATTATTACTGGAAGTCATTGACGTGGGATTTGTGTGTGTGTGTGTTTGTGTTTGAGTTTTTTTATTATGTCAATTATGTACATGTTTGCATTTTTGGAAGCATTTTTCCTCGGTTACTAGACTGGTGCCCACCACAGCGTGCTGGTAAAGGAACGCCTATGTTATAGTTATAGGCCTACTGTTTGCAGCGCCTTTACACTACACCACCATTTGCCAACTGTGTTTTTTTTGTTGCAACTTGTTTTTCCCTGTGTGTGGAAAACTTACGAGACAGACCTAGAGGAGGTAAGACTGGCCAAATTTTGTCTGCTGTAGACTCTACCAGTCTACCACATAATGTATGCCTGCCTATGTGTAGATGGCTTTTGGTGCTGTCCCATTGTAATTATTGTGCCAGCCCCACTGCACAACCAACTTCATGCTCATCCCAAAATAGGTGCAGGTATTATTACTACTACTACTACTACAGTGTTTTGACTGTACATTGGGAATTGTGATCACTTTGTGCAGGGGCTGTACGCTTCCAGGGATATGTGGATAAATCTAGCTGTTTGTTTGTTGGTGATATCACAGTCAGAATATTTTTGTTTCTTTCAATTTATTCTATTTCTATCGTGTATGTATGCAAAAATGATTTGAAACTCAAGAAGTGAAGAAATAAATGTTAAGAAGCTCACCTGTCAGGTTCTTCCTGTATTTTATATATATATAATATGTTTTTTATATATATATATAGAGAGAGAGATCTACAATTTGCCAATTTTGTTATATTTGGGTGTGTTGAATGCGCTTGTCAATTTCCAGTGTGTTTTAGTTGGCGGCTGATTTGTCACCTAATCACTCGGCGCGGTAAGTTATAGAAATAATCTATACAATTTATACAAGCGCACAGAGACACGGCCTACTCTCACTCTCTACGCCGATTTGAAATCAGCGATCCAAATTCTACGTACGCACAGGCTCACCGAGCAGAATTTGAGTTTGTAAAGTATTTTAAAAAGTCAGCAACAGGCCTAATTGGTTTTTAAAAAAATCCACAGATTGTAGTTACTGAGTTGAATGAGAAGTGTGCTTTCTGTGTTGTGTGTGCGTGCGCGCGTGCATGTGTGAATGTGTGTGTGTGTGTGTGTGTGTGCGTGTGTGTGTGTGTGTGTGTGCGTGCGCGTGCGCGCGTTCGTTCAAGAAGCATGGTTACTCTCATATTTTATTTTAACGTGAACAATGCCTTGGTTTCCGCTATATAAATGCAACCGATCTCCCGTATGGGATTTTTTTAAAAGTTAAATTTTATGAAAATCGAATAATCACAGACAGGCTGTGTGAAGAATTCGCCATTGAGGTTTTAAAAAAGGAAAGTAACTAGCATTTGCGCGCCATATCGTTTCTTCCTTAATTTTGGAAGAGCGCTATCCAAGATTAAAAAGCTCTTCATCCAAAAAAGTAGAAGACAACATGTTGGAATTTACAACACGAAGGTTGTTCACAATATGACCCTTTTAGGTAAACCCCAACCCAACCCCCCCCCCCCCCCCCGGGGGCACTGCCACTAATTGTAGTGTCTTTAGGCCATTCCCAAAGGGGGGACATATCTCGTTCAAGCATACATGTAGTAGAATTGTAAATGGGCTGATTCATCATGTCACGCTCATAACTGTGCCTGATCTACAACAGGGAACTGCTGCTTTTTCTTTCCTGATCCTTACTATTGTCATTTTCCTCTACTTCTTTTGTATGTTTGTCACTCCCTTGTGACCTGCTATTTTGGGGTGCCTTGATAGTCGAAGCAGACCTTGTGCTATTGAAGCTAGAGAGGTGAGCTGAGTAAGTCTGATTCCCTGTGACGACTTCTCTGTTGACACCAACCCCTTGGCGCTACTTATGCAGTTGCGAGCGCAGTAAAAACCTCTAATATAAAAAAACAACAACCCAACCTGTCAAATCTAGATCTGGTTCAACGGAACAGTCTACAAGTGCGCTGAAAATATGTGTCCCTTTTGTTCTATCCTCGGAACGATCGGCGCAGAGTATCTGTCCCCGTGGTTTTACGCCAAATAAAGGGGGAAAAAATTGAAATTAAGCAAACTCAAGCCCCAAAAAATGTGAAATTATGTGATTCTGTTAATTTTAACAAAGAGTGATGAAGGACAATAATCAGAAATTATGCCAAAAATGATCAAATTTCGCTAAATTGTGCGGGGTGCATAAAACCACGGGGACGGGAGTATACAGGGGATCCAAAGAAACGGTAGGCTCACAACTTTTTTTGTCAATATTTTCCTCCACTCTGAAGTTTTGCACTTCCAATTTGTACGAACATCTGGAAGTCAAAAGGAGTTTGTGTGATATTCATTTTAGAAAAATCCACTGAATAGTTTTGTTTTACACAGCACATACCCCCCCCCCCCCCACATTTTCAGCTAAGTCCCCATTTTTGTAGCATGGCGCATTAATTTGCATAAGGCCTACAACTAAAAATCCTAACGATTGGACCATATTGCATACCACAGTCTGCGGTTTTATGCAACAACCCCAAAAAAATTCTGAAATTATGCAAACTGAGCCCAAAAATGGGAAATTGTGCGATTCTGTTAATTTTAACAAAGAATGATAGAGGAAAAACGTCGGAAATTATGCAAAAATGATCAAATTTTGCTAAATTGCGTGGGGCGCATAAAACCACGGGGTCAGTACAGTAGACTAACAGCCAAACACAAGTTTGCAGATGGTTTTTCTCAAGTTTCCTTTGCCTGTTGTGATCATGGTTAAGATTAGTAAAGAGCAGAGAGCTTTTTCTATTGAACATTTCCTCACCGACGACTCATTTTCTAAGCTTCGCACAAAGTACATAAATAATATTAAACTCATAATAAAGTGCCCCTAAAGGCCTTTTTTATGTCGAGGGTGGAAATGGTTCCTCAGTACCTGTAGAGAATCAGAATTAAAAATGCCCTGACAGAACGACCATTTCAGATCAAACATACGACGTTTGCATCCTTTTAGTACTTTTATACGTCACCAGGGTGTAGAATTCAGTAGCTGAGCCCCATTAATTAGATGTCTGTCCGTAGACGATGTCTGCAGCAATGACTTTCCTACTCAACTGTCCGCATTCTCAGGGCAGATCTTCATCTACGACTGTACCATTTTCCCGTTCGCGAAACTATCAGAGGATAGCAATGTGTTCATGATTCCTCGATCGTCTTGAAAAGCGTGGACTTTTCCTCTATGACATTTTGGTTCCTTGGCAAAGCCCATATTCGTCTTTCAGGTTATATCAACTCCACAAATGCTGTCTACTTGGGCAACCTCACCCCCCTACATGTAATGTGACGTCTCTGGAAACAGCTCCACACTGTAATGTAAGGTGTACAGTAGTTTGTGTGGCTTTTGGTACTCATGGTGGAGTGAATCCTTGTGTTTGGCCTCTTTGAACATTACGAACGACGCGTTAAAAATGTGTCGAGTCCAAAGGAGGACATAATCCATTTTGACCATTGGTTCTCGGAATTCCAGAATTAAAAAAAAAAGAAATTAACTCTGTAGGAGGAAAAAAAATGTTTACAGAAAGGTTACAAGTTTCAGTTACAGTGGAAAATTTAGATTTTTAAAATAAAAGGAAAGGAAAATTTCAAACCAATCATTTCATGACTTTCCTTTAAAGAACTTTTGAATTGTTGTATTTTGCGTTTTTACTATTTTAGGTGGGTTTTTTTTTTTTTTTTTTTACAAAAGCCTTCTCCGTTTTTAAGAGCACAGCGCGCCTGCGCATATGCCTATAGGTTATTATTTTTTGGTGCGCCCAATCGTTAAATTCTGCGCCTTATCGTTATGAAGTCAAAATTAAGATAGATAACTAACTGGTAGTTATAGGCCTAAGCTCCTTGAGTTAGGCCTGGTTCTGTGGCCATCATCTTTGCGCGCGAATCGAAGGCTTGCTTTAACCATTAACTTTCCTTTCTATGTTTCTTTATGAAATTTTCTTGCTTTTCTTAAGAAAAGTTTAAAAGTAGGCTAATAGTCTGAAATGTTGTGTTTACTTCTTGGAAATCTCGCCAACCTTCCTTGGATAACATTACAATGTTTAAACTCGTGCTGCTTTTTCCTTGAAAACGTCAACAAAGATCAATAGATATTATTGTTCTCTCTTCACTCATGAAACCATGTCTATGATGATTTCTTAAGGTTATCTAGAAAATCCTTGAAACACCATTTAAACTGTTTATGTTTTCCTTCCCAATGAGCAGTTTCAGCAATTAACTATTCAAAATTGTACTAGGCTTACTTTTGCCTTATTTGCTATTTATTGTCAAGACTTTCAACCCCTTATTTGGGGGTCAGAAACGAGGCTCCGTTTTAAACATCTACATTAGAGATATATTAAAAAGAAAGCAGATAGATAGACAGACAGACAGACGAACAGGCAGACAGCCAGCGCAGGCAAGTAAACAGACCTTCCGGACGTCGTCCCATTAGTTCACTTGATCATGCTGGACTACGGAGCGAATGGCCGTAGTTCGAATCCCAAACTGGGTTTTAATAATCTCGGGTAATTTGTATGCCTAGAATTTATATAAGGCTCTCAACCCATTTGGCTTTGTCCTTTCGGAGACGGACTTCTTCTTTTCTCCTCTTTTCTTTTCTTTTTTCTCTTTCTTGGGGGGGGGGGGGGGGGGGGGGGGGGGGGTGCAATAAACTACGTGTTTTACGGCGCTCGCAACTGCATTAAGTCATATGGGCACATGAAACACTACATTTTCAATTTGTAGGGAATTTTGAATTTGGCCCTAATCGATTTTAGACCACGAAGAGATCTTTAACATGCGCAACATGCACACTAGACCTCTGAGAGGTTTCGCCCTTGTCCGAGAAGGCTAGGTGTAGATCTTTCCTACCATAAGATCAGGGGTGTGGCAGAAAGACGGCAGTAAGAATGAGCCAAGGAGTAGCGGTAGAAAGGCTGCAGAAAGAGTCAGGAGCCCAGATGAGGGCAAAAGGGGTGAGGGGGTGTGGCAGAAAATGGAGACGAAAGAAGACGACAAAACATTGCTAGAGAGCCGGTAGGCAGATGAAAGGAGACAATTTTAGAAAAGAACATTTTTCCGTCGTTACTCAGATTCGAACCCGGGATCTTTGAATGAGAGGCAAAACCTTAACCACTAGACCACGAGAGCCCCCCCCCTCCCTTTACATAACCATACCTAAAATCAAATTGTATTTATCCATATTTATATAAGAAAATATAACTTCAATAAACAAATTAAATGAAAATTAACTTCCACCCTTTATAAAAAAATAAATCTATTCAACTAGATAAAAAGTTATAAAATATCCCAAAGGATAACTTCCTATATAAATATATAATCAAATGGTATAACTATAAGAGAGTATCAATATGGTATTCTAATTTAAGAAGAGAAGATATAACTGACAATGAATATAAAAAAGCTAAAGAGGTTTGGGATTATTATGAATGTAATAAAACACTAAAGGATTATCATAATTCATATTTAAAGACAGATGTTCTATTATTAGCTGACGCCTTCTAACAATTTAGAAGTTTTGATGTAAATAACCATCCAATAGAACCATGTTATTGCTATATTAATCCCGGATTAACATAGCAAGCTGGATTAAAATGTACAGGTATTAAACTTGAAAATTTTCAATATAAAACTA